ACGTGTGTTGTTTTGTCTTGGATGTTAGTGAAGTGTTCCGAAAAACTGACGGGTAGAGGCTACCAAAGGCCTTAGATGCAGCAGCTATGCGGTTGGACACATCGGTGTGGCATCGTCCGTCTGGTGTTACCACTGAGCCGAGATATGTAAACTGGCTGACATGCTGGATGGCGTTGCCTTGTACGCTTAGCGGGGTACGGTCACTGTCGTTGATCTGATGCCCAACAGCCATGAACACTGTCTTTGCCATGTTGAGAGACAGCCCGAATGCTCCACTGACCTCCGCAAATATCTCAAGCATACGCTGAGCATCCGAGTGGCTGGGTGCAAACAAGGCTGCATCATCAGCAAACTCACCATCTGTGATGACCATATCATTACCACGCTTAGATCTCTTGAAAAGCTGACCATCGGCACAGGTACGGAGTGGAAAACCAGACACTCCACGCTCTTGGACGCGTGCGCACCAACGTTCCATCACTGCACCAGCAAACAAGTTGAAAAGGACTGGTGCCATTGTACACCCTTGGCGCAATCCGTTGCACACTGGGAAGCCTTCAGTGGGGGAACCATTAACGATGATCGTGGCTGTCATGTTGTCGTGAAAAGACTTCAGAAGGCTGACCAGTTGCTCCGGGACTCCCAGCTTCAGCAGGACAATCCACAGTGCAGCACGCGGAACAGAATCGTATGCCTTCCTCAAATCGACAAACACCAGGAATCCCTTGGATTGGTGCTCGTGACACTTCTCTACAACCTGGCGAACAACAAACGTCATGTCCGTGCAGAAGCGACCTTTCCGGAAACCACACTGTGATTCAGGCAGCACACTTTCGGCGACTTTCTGCAATCGGTTTTGCAGCAGGCGTCCGAACAGCTTGCCAATGACGTCGAGGAGTGCGATGCCACGCCAGTTGTCGCAGCTAGTGAGGTCACCCTTCTTGGGTATCGGTATTATCTCTGCATTCACCCAATCTTGCGGTACTACGCCCTCCTCCCAAACCGCGGTAATGAGCTTAAACAGATTGGCATAGAATAGGTCGCAGTTGTATTTGACCATTTCCGGTAGAATGTCGGAGCTTCCAGCAGCTTTCCCGTTCGTAAGATAGCGAAGGCAGCGCTGGGCCTCTTCAGCAGTGGGTGAGGTGGCCAGGTGTTCCATGATGTTGCGCTGCTGGACCAAGTCAACTTCAGATCGGACAAAGCCGCTTGGAAGGTTCAGCAGCTTTTCGAAATGTTCAGACCAGCGGTTCTGCTGTGCCTCAACGGACGAGCATGGTGAGCCATCAGTCTGTTTGATCAGGCACGACTTAGTGGGAATCAATCCACGCCGGGCAGTCTGTAGATCCCGGATGCTGTTCCACACAACCTTACACCCAAACTTCCTAGATTCGGCATCAGACGCAGTCTTACGGAACCAGTCCTCCTTAGCACTGCGTACAGCATCCCTTGCAGCTGAGCGCGCGCGGACAAACTCTCGCCGGACCAGAGGTGATGGATCTGCTAAAGATTTCTGGAATAGAGTGTTACGATGTGCAAGGAGAGGCTCGAGAGTGGCAGAACTGGCTGAGAACCAATCTGGCTGACGACGGCGACTCTTGCCTAGGACAGAGGTAGCTGCTTTAACTGTGGCGTCCCGTAGTGAAATCCATTGATCCTGAACTGAGGTCCCTGGTGCAGCGTCTTGCAGACAGTCGGATGAGGTATGGTACCACTCCGCCACAGTTGCTTGCCTTACTAAATCATCATCCTCTGCTGCAGTTGGGTCAGCAGGTCCGAGCTGGGATACATCAAAGCGACGGCGATCAGGGGCCTTGCTCTTTGGCGGGTAGAAACGGCGGCGGCAACCAAGTGACAACGTTAGCCCAACAAGTTTGTGATCGGTCCCACACTCAGCAGACCGGTACACACGGCAATCTGTACAGCGCTGAAAATCCCGCTGCCGGGTGATCACATAATCAATACAGTGCCAGTGCTGTGAACGTGGGTGCTGCCAGGTAACTTTATGAATGTCCTTTTTTCTTGAAGTACGTATTACAGAGTCGAGAGTTGAACTCTCTCTCTCTCTCTCTCTCTCTCTCTCTCTCTCCCTCCCTCCCTCCCTCCCTCCCTCCCTCCCTCCCTCCCTCCCTCCCTCCCTCCCTCCCTCCCTCCCTCTCTCTCTCTCTCTCTCTCTCTCTCTCTCTCTCTCTCTCTCTCTCTCTCTCTCTCTCTCTCTCTCTCTCTCTCTCTCTCTCTCTCTCTCTCTCTCTCATGCATGCGTCACACTCTCATGGAATGTTCTCTTATAAGATTGCATGCTTCACACTCCTAGGCTTATGGAATTTTCTCTTATAAGATTGCATGGTTCACACTCTCAAGGAATTTTCTCTTATAAGATTGCATGCTTCACACTCTCATGTAATATTTCTTCATTCTTCGTCGTTTTGTGAGAGCTTGGACAACCCACTTGTCCAGGCAAGAAGGTAGCAATGCCTGTTCATTCTGGCGAAGTAGAATAGAATATACCAACCAACCAATCTAACAACATGATTGTACAACAATCCACGGTTGGCAGAGCCCCGGTCCGTTGGGACCATCCGTGAACCATATTTAATATTATTATTTTTAGAAGAGGTCGGAGGCGAATGATACTTAAAAACGAAGGTAAGTTTTGGGTCGCAAGTATCCACGCAAACACACATCCAATGAGTCACTTGTCAAAAGTATCGAACGTTTTCGGTCCCTTCTCATCAAGGATTATACAGGGAATGGCTCAAGTTAGAAAGACTAAAACTTATATAGCATAACGATAATCAGATAACAACACTCGTGACAAGGTGGAAAATTATCAAGCTCAGCACGACACAAAACTCGAAGGAAAATAATAATAATAGTGACAACAACATTTTAATATGGCAATAAGTAGGACGAGCTGAAGCGACATGTGGACTACTTTATTAACAATGTAAGCGATGGAGACGATGCAAGAAACAACCTAAAGGGTAAGGAAAAATACATGTAAGAAGAAAAAGGGCAATGGAAAAAAAAGATGATTCGAACAAGTTTTCGTACAACACTCTTCAGGAATCACCGTTGTACTAAAGAACAAAATGAGAACAAAGGAAATAATATAGCAATCAAGGTAGGGTGACACGATACAATGACAGCACTAGAATATCGAGGTGCGATTTCTCACAAAAGTGTGCAGAAAACAAGGGTATACAAGTAAGAACTAAGCGTGACAAGTGTGTATCAGCAACAAAAAACAAAAAACTTGTTCGAATCATCTTTTTTTTTCCATTGCCCTTTTTCTTCTTACATGTATTTTTCCTTACCCTTTAGGTTGTTTCTTGCATCGTCTCCATCGCTTACATTGTTAATAAAGTAGTCCACATGTCGCTTCAGCTCGTCCTACTTATTGCCATATTAAAATTATTGTCTCCTCGTCGAATTTTTAAAGACAACAACATTGTGAGCAAATTAAGTTACATTGTTAACACCTCGACGCGACGAGGAGTAACACCAAACAATTGTAGCGACAACACATTTTCTTTCTGTACGCAAAGTTCCGGATCTAACTTACGGATATACAAAGCTTCAGAATCGCACTTCGTCAATGAAGCAACATCTGTCAGCCCGTACCAATTGTCGTGAGTTGTACAGTGCTAACTTCAGTAGCGCTAACCTCGTTGGTCTTTCCATATCCATAACCTTGAACCTTCCAAGTAAGTTGGAAGGCTGTCGGTTAGCGCTACGGAGATGTGTTGAAGCTAGGTGTCAGGACGTCGAATGTCTCAGTACTCTGTCAGTTTTGTGCCTAGTCATTGCACTTTCTGACTGTATAATAGTATTATGGCTCAACATCCGAGTTTCAAATTATTATTATAATTAAATTTTTGATAGGACAATCCCCACAGGCCTGAGGCCATATGGGTGTTGAACCCGGTTCTGACCCTCATTATGCTAAGGGAGTTTTTAGACTTCTCTTTACGTCCGAGTCAGTCGTGTATTCTTTGATCGCTCCTGTATGTCGTCCTGACATGATAGTCGTGTAGCTCAGTACTTTAACCTGAATTGTTTTTCTTAATTTTTTTTTCTTCCAACTTCTGCCCATGGCGTCCCTCTCTCAGCTCGTCAGCTGTCAACAGTCCGGTCACCACCATGACGCTGTCGCGAGAAGGTGCTCTCTGTAGACGAGGTTGGTGATGTCCCGACGCGACCATGGGTAGGCCTTCACCACGTCAGAACACCCCCCCGGCTACACGTAACGTTGGTTACCTCCACTAGTTCCGCTGGGAAATAACTTGTTTGTTGTTGATGTTGTCACGCAAACTAGTAGATCTACTATAACAAGGTTTATCTAATACTACTACTAGTATTGAACTAGTATAATAGCAAGAGCACATAAGTCATAACCCCCTTTTATATACTCTTGATAATTAGCTGTAGGCTGTACCGCGTACCGGTCAGCGAGCTACTATACAATTATTTAGAGGCAGAAAATATTGATCACGATCTGGCGGTGCATCCACGCCCGCACCAGCCATGTGCTCGTCCAGCTTCTGACCCTGGCGCACAAGGCACCCCTACCCGCCATCAGCAGTCAAATGGCCTACGAAGCCAGGCAAACCGTAGCTGCTGCGGTCAGCGGAGATTTTCTGCTGCTGGGGCCCCTGTTTACTGGCATTATAACGGTAGTATCCTAATCTCTTCCTATGTGCTTCTTATACTGATCTCTTACTACCGGTATGTCACAGTATGTGCTTCCATAGCCACTTCTACAAAATTGTAGCCTACATACAATGCAGGCTTCGCCACCATTTTCTTGGGTCGTCATCCCGTTTGAATGTGCAAAGTAAAATTAAAATCCAACCAACCAACCAATATTTAAAAAAATAATGCAATAGCGTCGACGTCGTCATCTTTCCCTGCGTAAAACCCGTGATTTTATTATGAAAAAGTCTTTTTGAACATTCAGCTTTTTTACATGTTTCTGCTCTCTCAGCGCTCAGCTCTCTCTCTTTTTAGAAATCCCCCCGCAACAGAGTGAGCACAGCTTGAACTAACTTGAAGCTAATCACTGGCGAGCAGCTTCCTGAGAGCAGTGGTTGTAATGTTCTGATTTGAAATACCGGTATGGGAATAACAGCATCAACAACCTTCGACTCCCTGAGTAGCAATGCGTTGCTTGTACGCCTGGTTGGCCGCGAGACGATTGGATTGAACGATTCGTTTTGGACTGATCTTCTTGCTTTCACGTTCTCAGCACCACTGAGAAGGTAAAGTCTACGCGAGCCTTTTCAAATACATTGTGTATGTGCTGCCGGTCGAATGCGTAGACTCTACTGCCTATGTGCTGCAGTGTAGTTGAATCTACTCGCTATCATTATTACTAGTTTGAAAATCTGAACTATGTACACAATCAAGCTCGGACACTGACCCAATAATTATAAATGTAGAAAAAAACTCATATCAATGTGGCCCTTCTCCTATGCATATATGGCTATGTAGAGGTCTACGCGGTTCATGCTCAGTTCAGGCGAACTCCAGCACTACATGTACACAGTCATACGGTACCAGTGCATGACATTAGGGAGGTTTCGCTCTACGGAATTACGTATGAAAATAACGTAGGAACTGCACGGAATTTTCATACGTAAAAATCAGAGCTGTTGGGTTTCGCTCTACGTGATTTCTCCACAACTGCTAAACATGCGTTGTTGCTTTGGAGACGCGTTGGCTGCATGCGTCCACCGCATGAACCGAAACCGCGTTTTCCATAATATTTTGCACATGGTGTACGGTGTGTGTACCTTGTGTTTCGCGCGGCTTGAACGTTGCCATGGACAAATGCGAAAAAATATTTCAAAAAGTCCTACGGAGGACCCAACGTAGGAAACAGCTTTCCTACGGAAATCCGTAGAGAGATTTACGTATGAAAGTTGCCCTCGCTCCCCGGCGCGTACGACATACGGATTTTCATACGTAATTACTAGGGCTGAAAGGAATATTCGAATTATTCGAATATTCGAAATGTGCAGACCGGAAAAAGAATATTCTTTGTCAAAATAGAATAAGAATATTCGTAAATTACAGAAACTCGCCTTTTTGGTACCGATCAGGCTTATTTCGTGCAAAATACGAGTAGACTTGCCACCTTTAATGTGTTATCATCAGCAAGACAAATGATGACAATGCCACTTTCACACATCTCTCTTGTAATCGGGGTACACACCAGTCAATGGTCTATGGTTACCATGGATACAACAAGGTATCCATGGATATGGTATGGTTAAGAATATTCGGAATATTCTTCGTTTCACATGTATTCGGAAAAGGAATATTCGTTCGCTTCATTGAGCATTCGTTTCAGCCCTAGTAATTACGTGGAGCGAAACCTCCCTATTGTGTTCACCAGTGTTCCCCATTTAAAAAATTATGTTTTTGCCAAGGCTAGTCGAATGTACAGTAGTAGTACAGTATACTGAAGGTGCCATGCTGCATTTTCTCATCTAGTACTTGTAGACTTGTAGTAGTACTAGAATAAGATCGATTCAGTATTTGACGATACCACCAGCACCACATTATCATTCAACTGGTTTTTTAATTTTTTATTTGGCACGCAGATTTTCACACAGCAGTGTCTTTGTGCTGTAATGGCGCAAATTATGTAGTCGAAGGAGTAGTCTTGGTCTGGGGAAAGGAATGGATTGTTTTGGGATATCAGCAAGGAGCTGTTCCTCGCAACATATCACTTGTAATGCCAATTTTGTCCTTGCCGAAATTGACCTTACTTTTGCACCTGAGACTTACCAACTGAAATGCATCATGCTCAAGGTGGAGTTTGTGCTTTTATAGCCATGAATTATGTCAGTAATCTGTCCCCATGACATGAATTACCCAGCGAAATATCAGAAATGCTGCGCAGAATTTTGCAGCTAAATCAGCAAGTTCTGCGGCAACTCTGCATATCATTCTATGTGCCACAGCAGTTCTGCTAAGAAACCTAGGCATGAAAACGGTTTGAACCTTCACAGCCACACCGAGTCCTGTTTTTCGTATGAAAAAAAAGCTGAGTTTTCATGCGACAACAAGCGAAAGAGAAGATAAAGCTTCGAAGCGAAGAGAGTTATGCTCATTGAATATTTTGTTTTCGTGCTTTGGACACTTCTTCAGCCGAATACCGTCACAGCTTTCACAATGCGCTCCATTCTGATTTTCACTCAATGCGCTCCGTTCTGATTTTCACTCAATGCGCTCCGTTCTGATTTTCACTCAATGCGCTCCGTTCTGATTTTCACTCAATGCACTCCGTTCTGATTTTCACTCAATGCGCTCCGTTCTGATTTTCACGCACGTTCTGGCGGAACATGGGTGAGCCTCCTTCCACGGCGTATGGTGAATCAGAAAACAACTGTCCGTGGGTCACTGAGTATCATGTGGTACATGTACATGTAAAGTACACATGGATTACGTTGGACTAAAGCTGTATCCACAACTGGTGCGTGTACGTGTAAAACAAAGTGTTCGTGCGTATCTTTTGATGGATTTTGGGGCGTCGTGCGTATGGAAACGCGCCGACATGGAAATTCCTGTATGTTGGAATTTTTAGCGCGTATCAGGCGCATACGGCGTACATGGCAGTCACTTTGACTGGCGGGGTAAAAAAATTAGTACTCGAAGGCGTCACGCTATCGCACGCTCTAAATACGACTCGAATTGCTGTTTTTTTTTGAAAGCCTGAACGCACGTTTGGGCACGCATGAACCGCAAGTGCACCGTGTCAAACGAGTCGCGACAAGACCAAATCCTTTAGAGAAACTCTTCAGCAGCCCGGCTAGCTCAGTCGGTAGAGCATGAGACTCTTAATCTCAGGGTCGTGGGTTCGAGCCCCACGTTGGGCGCTCTCTTTTTTTTGTTTAGTTCTGTAGATTTAAAAATAGCATTCACCGTTTTGGCCCCCTAGCGACAGGAACCCAAATTGTATACATGTATGTAGTTACGCAAGGAGGAAACGTGCAAGTTAGTTTGGTGCTGGAAATCTGTATAGAGGTTTTCCAAGGTTGGACCAACGGTCTCTTTTTGGGGTCACGTGCGAGAAATTTTTGAATCGCTGGTGAACAGGCGAAGCCCAGTTCACGTTCACTTTGTATGGGAATGGATGAATGGAGGTGAAAGAAGAACTAGAATGGCGCTCCACTAGATGTCCGGCACTCGTGTTGAGTCAGAGCAGTTGCCAGGGCCCTTCCATGGCTTGGGCGAAAAAGAACAAGCTTCAGAATCGCTCCAAGCGCTGGTGGAGACGAACCTGTCACATTTCGTATACTTTTCAATGCGTTTTGACATACGACTTGTTCACCACAATCTCGGGGTGAGCGCCGGTGGCGGGCACGACGCCCCGTCCTTGAAACATTTCTATACATAATATGTATTCGCATGCAACGACGCAAATCCACACAATTCAGTAGACACTTTTTCTATCAAACGTTTTCTTTCCCTTCTCTTCAGGATAGTACAGGGAATGTTGGAAATTAGAAAAACACATAACTATATAGAGAATGAAAGAAAGAAAAAGTCAACACTTCAACATAGGTGTTAAAATGATTAAAGTGTTAAAAACTCAAAAACAAACAGCTGCAAGTTGTAGACAAACACGTTGAACACATCAGGGAACACTTGTCACACTTTCACGAGGTGTGACACCAAACAACTGCAACGATAACACATTCTCCTTCTGTACACATAGTTCTGGATCTAGTTTACGAATATACAGAGCTTCTAACACAGCAAGATGTAACTTAGACCTTCCACGAGTCAAAATCGAAAAGATATCATCACTATACAACTTACAACAACTAGCACTGCTCGACAAATGACGCTTGATGGACGATGTCCGATCACTTAGCTCTGTCACCTTCGACGCCTGCCGTTGTTCTCTTCCGTTAGGCTTGTTTGGTTGGTTGCTCCGGTCCACACCTCCAACGTCCGTTGATTTCATGTCCGTTTTTGTTGATTTCATGGCCGTTTTCGTGTCACTTCTTGGTCTTCCTCGTTTCCTCTTGTTGATCGTTGTTGTCACTTCCATTATCGACGTATTCAGATCCCCAGTACTCCGTCTCTTCACCTTGCTTCTGGTAACTCTTCCGGTGTCTATGAGCTCCAGTGTCACATTGGGTGGTTTTCGAGACGGTCTCCCTCGCTTCCTCACGCTTGTCTGAGATGGGCCAAGCTCCCCGCCCGTCGAGGCGGAGGCGCGCATGCGTACATCTACACTGGACGCAGACAAAGGCGTTCCAGTATCGGACTGCACAGCACATTTTGGAGGACGGCCATGACGAGGACGAGTACCACGAGCGTCAACAGGGACAAGACCTAACGGCACATGTTGACGGATGCGTGCGCCCAGGTGTTGAAGGGTTCTACCTACGTACCGATCTTCACATTCTCGGCATTGAATCTATTTTTTTCAATGCCGAGAATGTGAAGATCGGTACGTAGGTAGAACCCTTCAACACCTGGGCGCACGCATCCGTCAACATGTGCCGTTAGGTCTTGTCCCTGTTGACGCTCGTGGTACTCGTCCTCGTCGTGGCCGTCCTCCAAAATGTGCTGTGCAGTCCGATACTGGAACGCCTTTGTCTGCGTCCAGTGTAGATGTACGCATGCGCGCCTCCGCCTCGACGGGCGGGGAGCTTGGCCCATCTCAGACAAGCGTGAGGAAGCGAGGGAGACCGTCTCGAAAACCACCCAATGTGACACTGGAGCTCATAGACACCGGAAGAGTTACCAGAAGCAAGGTGAAGAGACGGAGTACTGGGGATCTGAATACGTCGATAATGGAAGTGACAACAACGATCAACAAGAGGAAACGAGGAAGACCAAGAAGTGACACGAAAACGGCCATGAAATCAACAAAAACGGACATGAAATCAACGGACGTTGGAGGTGTGGACCGGAGCAACCAACCAAACAAGCCTAACGGAAGAGAACAACGGCAGGCGTCGAAGGTGACAGAGCTAAGTGATCGGACATCGTCCATCAAGCGTCATTTGTCGAGCAGTGCTAGTTGTTGTAAGTTGTATAGTGATGATATCTTTTCGATTTTGACTCGTGGAAGGTCTAAGTTACATCTTGCTGTGTTAGAAGCTCTGTATATTCGTAAACTAGATCCAGAACTATGTGTACAGAAGGAGAATGTGTTATCGTTGCAGTTGTTTGGTGTCACACCTCGTGAAAGTGTGACAAGTGTTCCCTGATGTGTTCAACGTGTTTGTCTACAACTTGCAGCTGTTTGTTTTTGAGTTTTTAACACTTTAATCATTTTAACACCTATGTTGAAGTGTTGACTTTTTCTTTCTTTCATTCTCTATATAGTTATGTGTTTTTCTAATTTCCAACATTCCCTGTACTATCCTGAAGAGAAGGGAAAGAAAACGTTTTGATAGAAAAAGTGTCTACTGAATTGTGTGGATTTGCGTCGTTGCATGCGAATACGTATTACGAAACTGTTTTTCCCACCGCCTCCAAACTACTGTTTGAAATACATAATATGTTTAGTATTATTTACCGTTGCTTGCAGATAATAGACACCCTTAGCAAACAACGGTAACGCTATTTTTTACGGTACTCGTACCTTGATCACCCAAATAGCGTTGAAGCTGCAGCGTATGAACGATATGGGGGCTGATTTATCGTTGTGACCAACGGTACGTGTTTTGGCCAAATATTGCATAGTCCGTACGCATTTCACCTTGTATCGCGTATATGGTGACAAAAATGGTTGTACTGCGCGAAATCAAAGCTATTCTCGTGACCGCAGCGTACTAAAAATAGCGTGCATCTTGCTAAAGGTCGAACCAAAATCACGGTATTTTCCCCCTTACGATAATACCGTTACAACATAACGTTTTTTGCTAAGGGTGTCTATTATTTAATTTTTAATATTTATTTTGCCCGAATAATGTCCTATTGATACCAAATTTTTCACTATTTTGCTTCCTGGGTAATTGTACAGTGGAAAATAATAGGAACGCTAAAATGCTAACCATGTCTGTTGTACTGACCTCCGGGTACCGTGCAAGTTCTCAAAAGGGTAACTCATAAAACTGACTGGGGATGGGCTGTTTCATCACAATCCCATTCAGATCCTTGATTACCCTATTATATAAATCACGTCCATCTGACTAGACGATGAGTGACAGAGAACTCACAAGAAGAAGAAGTCAGTAGGAAGTTTCTGTGAACTCTGAGCTTTGGACACCCTTCTTCTTTCCCGGTTGTGTGAACTCCCTCTGTATGTACATTGTACTGTATTGGGTATTATACAGTGAGGACTCCAAGGCGCTGACGGAAGCCACTCTGCCACTATGTCAGAAACTTGGTACGTGTATGTGTGTGTGTGTGTGTGTGTGTGTGTGTGTGTGTGTTTGTGTGTGTGTGTCTGTGTGTGTGTGCGTGTGTGTATGTGTATATATATGTTACACTCAGCATATGGTCACGTCTCTATATATGGTCACAGCTCTATAATTATATGGTCACTATATATCTGTACAGTGTACAGGCGACATGGTGCACCGCTGTACATGGTCACAGATGGAATGCAATGGAGCCTTGCTTTCACAGATGGTGCTGCAGTATGAACCAGGGATCCCTGCCTCCTACATAGGCCATATAGGGCTCCCTGGTATGAACTCGGTCACCATAAAATGCGCAGGCTTTTTGATTTGTTGTTGTTTTCAGTTCCACTGATTTTCTTTCTTGTTGCCATCGCCAAGACAATGTCACAGATGGTGCTGCAATATGAACCTATGATCCCTACATAGGGCTCGCTGGTATGAACGCGGTCATGAAAGCCGCAGTCTTTTTCATTTGTTGTTGTTTACAGTTTGACTGATTTTCTTTCTTTTTTGTCTGAGCTTGTTTTACTTGTAGCTTGTGAAGTTGAAGCAGTTATTCTATTATCCCCTGCTATATTTTGCTATAATATTTTAGGTTGATTTGTTCGTATAATGTAGTTTGAAGGTGGAAGAAGAAGTGCAGGTTATTAGAGTTGGAAAGTCCATACGAAGTGCTTCAAAACTAAAGATAGAAATGCGGAGTCATTTTGGATTTCCTTTTAGGAAATAACTACAGTGTGTTTGGTCAAAGCACAGAACCCAAGTGGGGTGAGGGGGAAATTGCGGAGCACGTTAATGCAACTGAGAATGTTCACGTCGAGGAGAGGTACATTGTGTGTGTGTGTGTGTCCGTGCGTGCGGGCGTGTGTGTGTATGTGTGTGTATCGTTACCCCACGCAGCAATGATTAGAATTATGTTCTGAGTTGTGACCACATACAATGTACTAGTACGATTTCAGTTAGCAATTGACCACATCTAGAGTGGCCATGGGGTGTGTAGTAGCTGGAAATGCAACTCCTACAGGTGCATGTGTGTGCTGTCTGCAATGTTATTGTGCCCATATATAGACAAGACACATTGCATATGACCACATATAGAGTGACCATGTATAGCGACCTTTGAACAATTTGACCATATATAGAGCAATGACCACATATAGAGGATTGCTGGGCTACTGAGTCCTACCGTATATTCTCTATTATAAGCGCAGGTCTCCATTACTAGCACAGTCTCTAATACTAGCACACTGTGAGCACCTTTCGAAACATTATAAGCACGGTCTCTATTATTAGCACGGTCTTGGTGGAAATCAATGCGGCATGCATGATATCTAGCACGTATTTTTTCTTGCCCTGTATGGATGTATTGGTTGAAAAAATATAAGCACGGTCTCCAATATAAGCGCGGTCTCCAATATAAGCACGGGGTAGAGGGGTGTTTAAAAAATATAAGCACGGCGCTTATAATAGAGAATATACGGTATATATAAATATATATCAGGGCTCAAACGGTTAGTCCGATTAACCGGTTGCAGACCGGTTACGAAGAATTAACGGTTAACCGATAAAGATAACGGTCACGCAGTAACTTTTCAGTCAATTTTTCAAGTATCAGGTCGTTGCAAAGTGTGCACTTTCGCGGGCTGTCGCACGCGTACGCAATTTCTGGGCTGTCAACTCGGTCATATCTGGTCTCTTGGTGTGAGAGTATGTATGAATGAGCATGCAAGAGAATGTACAAGTGTGCGTTGTACTGAATAGGGTACATTTTTTGAATGAGTATAGTCAAATATACGGTTAAAAAAAAGTCCGCAGGATTGCCGTGGCTTATAGGTTATAACCGGTTACCCGCCCTTTAGCTTAGCAGTTAACCGTCAGGGGTAAAACCGTGACCGTTTGAGCCCTAATATATATATGTGTGTGTGTGTGTGTGTGTGTGTGTGTGTGTGTGTGTGTGTGTGTGTGTGTGTGTGTGTGTGTGTGTGTGTGTGTGTGTGTGTGTGTGTGTGTGTGTGTGTGTGTGTGTGTGTGTGTGTGTGTGTGTGTGTGTGTGTGTGTGTGTGTGTGTGTGTGTGTGTGTGTGTGTGTGTGTGTGTGTGTGTGTGTGTGTGTGTGTGTGTGTGTGTGTGTGTGTGTGTGTCCCATATGGTGCAGTGGTATGTGCAGCGATTTCCAATCGATAGGTTGCGGGTTCGATTCCCGACGATTATGGTCACACACGTCTTTCTTCTCTTTCTCAGACTCTTCCTGACTTTTCTTTCATTCTCCTGGGTGGTTACCAACAGCCAGTGTATGCCGGAGTATGTGGTGTGATGTGTGTGTGGGAAAAAAAGAAAAAAAAAAAAAGAAGAAAAAGACCAAAAATAGGGATTCACTGGCCAGAAAAAGTCACTTCAAATAGCTGTATGGTGTAGACCAGGCTGAATAGTGACGGTCAATTCTTCAGCCTTGCAAGCTGTTGAATGGTGCAATCCCAGCACAAGTTGCTATGGCTTCTGCCGTAGCATTGCTATCATCGCCTCTGGCGATGGGCGTCAAAGGTCAAAGGTGTGTGTGTGTGTGTGTGTGTGTGTGTGTGTGTGTGTGTGTGTGTGTGTGTGTGTGTGTGTGTGTGTGTGTGTGTGTGTGTGTGTGTATATGTATGTATGTGTGTGTTGACATGTGGGTATACATCTCTATTTTGATTGTGCTGGACAATGGCCTGGGCCCCAACACCGTGTGCCAAACTAATGCTTGCCGCCGTATTACTTCACAGGAATATTACAATGGTCTATTTGTCATGGCATTCATAAAGAAAACCTGTCTTGTTTTAAGTGTTCTATTCGCCGGGTTCTCGTGCCTGTTTCTGGTGATATTTCTTGTGCAGTGGAGAATGGTGTTGCATCGGGCAACTTGTACACACTGGTGCAGTTGTTTGTATGGCGCTGTGAGCTGCTCTGCCATGCTGTGCAAACTGGACAGAACACTGAGTAGGTATTGTGTATTGTGTCTTTAAGCTTAGCCAGGCGAGCAGTAGTGGGTGTTGCATTATGCTATACACAGACCTATATTCAGAGGCACTTAGCCCTTTGGCGCACACCGTTCGAAGTCGAACGAAGGACATCTGTATGACAGTGGGTGCAGTCAAACCCTCATACCTCCGTCAAGTCTTGATAAAATACACGTCTAGGTGGAGAAATTCTCAGCAGTCACCTTGAACAAGTCCAAACTCTCCGATGAAGTTTTTAAGAGAGCGTCGAGTGCACGTCAGCCAGATAATTGCCATGCACTTTCCCACATAGCTTACTAGTATCCTTGGCTCCACCTGCTTCGTTGTGCCTCACAGTTACTAGTGTTCTTGTCTCCACCTGCTTTGTTGCGGGTTACAGCTTGGTTCCGGTCACCGTTGTATTTATAGATGTCCCAACATTGGGTTTGCTGTTGTGCTATTCAGACCCTACCAACCAACTTGGTCTGTTATGCGAACCGAGGCTTCTGATTTTGCATATTCTGCAGTGTTTTTGCATACTACCAATGTACTATTGTGCATAGTGCACAGTGCTTGTATGTAGCTGTGTCTTTGTGGATATGTGTGTGCCGCTGGCTGGATTTGTTAGCACTAAAAGGATGTGCTTTGTTCTGGTACTCACCACATGAGTTTCCATGGTACATGTAGCCGTAGCACGGCATACACTCGCTTTGGTACAACAACGATATACTGACTCATCAGTGAGTCATCACTCAGCTTGCCCTTGCCATGCTTCTACTGTCGTGGACATGGAAATCCGGTCGAATGACGTGGGGCCGGCGCCCTGCAGTGCGTACAGAACGTCGCATGCAGCGTATGTGTTGAAGGTATGCGTACTCACGGCTGCATGGCCAGCGCCCTGGGCCGCTTGGCCTCCGACTGGATTTCCATGTTCACGACAGTACTTAGCTGGTTGATACTGTTCAGCTTTCCGCACCATTTTGCTCAAATTCTGTAGTGCGCGCGATGGAGTGATTTTCCGTACAAATGGGGAAATTTTCGGAAGGTTAGCAGCACTGCCTGCTCCTAGCCACTACTTCTGGTGGGTGTTTGCTGAAGGCTTGGGGGCTACTAGCGTCCATGGGGGAGGGGGTGACAGAGGAGCGTCGCATGCTTGTCTCCTTTGATTGCATTGGCATGGTGTGCGATACTGATTATAGATGGAACAAGGAGAGCTTAGGGTCACTGGTGTAGAGGAGCGGGTAGATTTACTTACCTCTAATCACATGTGTGTGTGTGTGTGTGTGTGTGTGCGTGCGTGCGTGCGTGCGTGTGTGCATGGGTGATAAACACAGAGATCTGCCACTACTGACCTACAACAGTCTGCTGTTAATCAGGCAGCTCACTCAACATCTGATCTTGGTCTGTGCCGAAGACAAGCTAGAGGTAAGACAGAGCATGGCCTACTACTTGGTCCGCGTCAGCAATATTGTCGCTTATCTTTCGACAATTTGAACTTAGACTTTGGACATCAACGCGTGCACTTGAAGTGATAAAACTTGGTACGATGGACGGTACGGTATAGAATGACAACTAGCTATGAGGAATTTATTGTCCAAGGAAGGGTTCATACTTTTTTCGGTCCTCCTCGTCGCTGCTCTCGGCGCTGGTGACAAATATTTTTGCTCGGGATCGGCTCTCTTGCTTTTGCAAGCTCATCTCTCTTCCTCTCTCTGCCTGGCTATTTTCTAAAGAGAAGTCGGTCGTGACGGTCGCCTTCTCTATAGGACTTCGCATGGGCAGCACGACAGCCTGTGTGGTACAAATCAGACGCCGTTCTTTGCAAGATTTTATTTTGAACGACGACGACGACGCGTACAGTACTTGCAAATCTCCACGACGCACTGGATACTCCGAGCGTTGAGCTGGAGGTAAGGGAGCTGCGATCTCAGCTTGACGAGCGATCCCTGAGGTGAGCGATCTCGGCCGTTCAGCAAAATGGAGCTGATTCCGAGGAGCCGATTACTTTCTTGTGGCTTGCGCTGCTCTTGCCTGCACAGCGTAACAAGATAATCTATTTTGATGCGGCGCTGTATCAATCAGAATGACCCACCCGTCGCTCTCGAAATCCACTTGAACTCTAGCTAGACCTTTCAGGTACTAGTAAACTAACTTACTAACCAAAACTGGGATGAAATGGGCTGCCAAGTGAGTATTGGCGACATATAAACAAAGCTGAAAGATAAGCGACAATATCGCTGACGCGGACCAAGTACCAAAAATCCAATATTCCAATATACCAAGACAGTCATGTAGTCCAGTACACCAATACTCCAATATACCCATAGTAACATCCACACCGTGAAAACCTTCAGCAGGCCAAGTCAAATTCCTAATATAATATATACTGTCGCCAGCATGTTACAATCAACCTCATGACTAACAACTTCGTGGATAACAATATCTCCCATATACTGTATATGGACACGATCTTCAGACCTAGTAAGCATTTGACTGCATACTGTCAACCCCACAATTATCGACAACTGGTGAACACCAGTACTTTTCTCATACCCGATCAATGGTCATTATTCACAAGGTTGGCTGGCTGTACATGGCTAGTGCAGTTAGTACAGTTAGTGCACTGCCTGCCAGTGAAATCCTGCTATGCTTGGTTCACAATGCACCAGCTTCATTCCTAACGCACAGTCCTGAGAGCATGATGTACTGATGTTTGACTGGCGCAGTAATGGTGGCAATTTGGCAGCTCAAGGTTGTTACCGTGGCATTGCTTCAGTATTACCAAGAGTACATAACCCCCCAGAGTGTGCAACGCCTGATCCAGCTCTGCACAGGGTCTTGGTCGAGCGTAATCGGATCTTTGCGTCATAATACCGTACACATCTGAGGGGAACCCGGGGTGTCGCGGGTACTCTCGGATCAAAAACAACGGTGCCCTGCCTCGAGACCGGCCTTGCGCTGGTGTGGAGTGTACGCATGACATCAGAAGATCCGATTACGCTCGACCAAGACCCTATGCAGAGCTGGATCAGGCGTTGCACACTCTGGGGGGTTATGTACTCTTGGTATGACCTTTAACTAACAATTGCCCCTGTTGTTGTTGTTGTTGTTGTTGTTTCAAATCTTTATTCTCACAACAGCCAGTGGCCAATAAGAGATTGTTGTTGTTGTTGTTCTTGTTCTTGTTCTTGTTGTTGTTTTCCTTCTAACCATGTAATGGCGGTGTAGTCCTACTTCAATGCTACAGCGCCGTCCCCACCCAACAGTCCAGCTGCACGTCCACTCAAGACCGTGGCTGACAGCAGTTCCGCTGCATCATTGCCGCCAGACCAGCGACTGACATGTACGGGTAAGTGTAGCTATGGCAGCAGTGGCGGTGGCAGTGCCGGCAGTGCGGCGTCTGCTCAGGGATATACTCCTTGCAAGCATGCATTCTAGGCTCTTTGAATTCCTTTGCCATGTACTGACTGACACGAGTAGTGTGCAAACAGTACGGAAACAGTGTGCATGATGCTGGACTGGTATCTCATGAGCACATGTGCACAATTCTGATGCCTCATTGCCTACAGTGGTGGGTATTTGCTGTGTTATGACACTACTGTGGCTGCATATGGATTGCCGTCGCTTAAAAAAAGAAGTATTTCAGATTTTCAGTGTTTATATGATTCTGAGTTACAGACGCAGTTCAAGTTCTGGGCAGTGCCCGTCCCCGGATCACCAGGATACAAGAGAGACATGTGTTTAGTGAATGTGTGTTTGCAAACTCTGCGTACAGTTGTACTGTTTGTAGTTAGCGTGGCTAAGAACATGTCTTCTGGTGTGCTGTGACACATACACATCTGTCTCTATCCGCAGCACCTGTGCGTGGTGCCGAAGCAGCTCCCCCCGCACACGCCACCAGTGGTAGCGGCAGCAGCAGCGCTAGTAGTCCCAGCTCTCTGGCCTCCATGCCGTTTGTGAATCAGGCGCGCCAGATGATGTCGGCTGAGAGTGGTTATGCTGTGGTCGATGATGACATTACTGTGCCACTCGCCAAAGTTGTGAGTTTTTCTTGGTCTTGGACTGCTGGGCCTACTGGGCCTGCTAAATGGGGACAAGTTACATCCCACTTGAATTGGATTAGAAATAACACTCTGGCCAGACAGACAGACATGTTGTACTGTGGTTCTTGCATCGAGATAATATTGTGGTCTTGTTGCTCTTGAAAGGCATTTGGTGAAGAATGTTCTAAATTAGCAGCAACGTCCGGTGGTTTGCGAGGACATGATGTGACAGACCTTTGTGCAAAGTCGCAGTTTCTAATTGAGCAAGAACTCATTGAACAGTCCCAACTTCATTCCATATCACTGAATGCGAGAATAACACATGGTGGTTGCAATGTTAGTGTTACAGAGTACAGTACTGCAGTGTTACAATACTGCTGTGTTACAGCACTGCAGTGTTACAGTACTGCTGTGTTGCTGTGTTGCTGTGTTGCAGTGTTACAGTGTTACAGTACTGGTCTACAAGTACTATAAAGCGACA